CTGCTGCAAAACTAGAAATCAATGCTAGCTAAAAGAAATAATGGAGAATGAAAAGTTCACGTAGTAACCTTATTCTTAGAGCTCTTGCCTGTTTCACCAAAGTCTGGCTCAAAATCAGCATCGTCTGGGTCATCTTCTGCCATAAAATCAGAAAGATAAATAACTCTAAAAACTACTTCCACGAAAGAGAAAGTGGAAATCATTAGATGAAAAAAGAAATAAACATGATTTTTTATGAAGACCCAGGCATTTGGCAAAACAATACATTTATATAAATAAGGATAAGACCTTCTTCATCGTCACTTTCCTCATATTCGTCATCATCATCATATTCATCATACTTGGCACCCTTTGATTTCTTGGCTGCATTCTTAGTAAGAAGTACTGGTCTGGGTGGCAATCTTGCGCCTGAGATACTAGGAAGGCTCAGTCCTCGACCATGTATCGAATCACTCTGCTCTTCACCATCCTGCTCATAATAATCATCGGACAGCATCTCATCTGCAGGTACGTCAACCTGCCCTCTCTGAAACTGCTCGCTATCCTTCTGCCCATCAGAATGATCATCGGAATTAACTGTAATCACCTCTTCATCCTTTGTACCATCAACTTCCTCGTCTTTAGGCCCCCACATTGGTTGACAATCCTTCCAAAAATTTGAACCCCAAGTACCAGATGGGCCCGTTCTCTTTCCTTGTCTACCATTGTCACTGGATATATCATTCTGCTGCACTCCAGCATCCAACGGCTCCAACTCACTCTGGTATTGATCTTCCTCTTTCATTTCAACACCATTCTCCGCAAAATTCAAGTCCATTTGTCTGTTGTCCTCTGTTGAAATATAGTCGCCCTCAGCATCGTTATCCCCTCCTTTCTCATTCAAGTCATATTCCGAATCCATTGCATTCCCAAAGTTCTTAAAGAATGCCATCGTCCAATGTCATGTAATCTTCAACTGCAAAAAAGAAAGACAAAACTTTAGCATCATTCTAACAAATGACACAGAGCTCCAAATCAATTTTAAAACCTGATAAACAGATTAATAATTGAAGCAAAAAAGACATCTATAAACCCTCATTCCAAAGTTAGTAAGCCTTTTAAATTACAGTCAGCAATCTCGACATAAGCAAAAAAGTGGAATTTAATTCGACAGGATCAGAATCTTAACAATAGAACGCTGAATCCAAAGTCAAACTGAATCAAAACACAAAAACCTTTGGAAACCCAAAATCAAAGGCCAATAATCCCACAAATGATCAAATCCAGCAGCAAACTCAACGGATCAAACGAAAAAGATCAAAACCCCCATCCCAAACCCCAAACCTAATCAAAACCAATTAAAAACACAATCGCAATCCAACGGTCTAAATCTCACAGGATCAAGCTCAAGCTCAGTAGAAGCGATCGCTCCAGAATCGAGATCGTACCTCCAATTCAAACGCAAACAGCAGGGCGGCGCAAGTTAGCAAACGTGCGCCGGCGGCAGAGGGTTAAATCACTAAGATCGCGAGGGAAATGGGAAATCTTTCAAAAAATTAGTTTTTAATTTCGTTTCGATGATTTTTGTTTTGAGAGTTTTAATGGTTTAAAGAGGGAATCGAAGGGGTCGATGAGAGAGAGGAGGCGTATCGGTATCGGGTTACGGTGGCGTGTCGACTGAATAGGAAAAAGATCGGCTTCGATTCGCGGGCAGACGCCGCTGGGAGAGGTTATCTGAGAGAGATGAAGGGGCAAAGGGGGAGATTAGAAACAAAGAGAGAAGAGGTGATTTTTATTTTGATTTTCGTTTTTTATTTCTTAGGGCACCCTAATTTCTTTAAGTTGGGTACGTGGATGACGTGGACGAATGAACAATTCCCATGTCATGCGGGTAGGCGGCGAGGGTGCCTTTGTGGGCAGAGATGTTTTAGGGCGAATGGTGGCCCCTTTCGGGGAATTTTCTCCAAAATGAGAAAGTAAAAGTCATATTTTTTAATTAATTTTTACACCAACTTCAGCGGCTTTCGTATTTTCAAAAATCTATTTTTTCCTCTAAAAATTTGGAGAATAATGCAGATTTGGGGAAACTTCCCTATTTTTTCTCCTACATCCCTATTTTGGGGAATGAGATGGAGAATCTGTTGGGTCAAAAACCTAACTAAATTTTTCAAAAGTGAGAAATGGGGAAGCTGTTGGAGATGTTCTTAGGGATTATTTGATAAAAATTAGGATTGTTATTTAACAATTCTATATATTCTAAGACTTGGATTATAACTAGAATATTTTGGTTAAAATCCTGAACATTTTACAAGGATTTTTAAACTTTTTAAATGGATTCTTGGATTGAAAAGTAAATAATTATTAACAAACATAACTATTATTTTATTAAAATTTGTATTGCTTAATTAATAGTTTCTTTACGATTTCAATTTATGATTATTTAATTTATAATTTTTTTATTATATTACAATTTACTATTAATTTGAATATTTCAATACATAAATAATAATTATAATAGAAATTTTTTATCAAATATTAAATATAAATATTAAATTATTTAGTATTTAATATCTTTTACTATGTAAATATGAATTGAGATAAATATTACTAATAATATTTAAAATACCAAATATAAATTGAGATAAATATTAAGTATATATTTAATATTTTATAAATTATTTTATATTTTAAAATATAATAAATCGTTAATATCAAATATAATACTAATTATTTGAGCTACAAATGGTTAAATAATATTAAATACTAAATAATATTTCATTTTAATTTATTAAATATATTTCAAGAATCTGATTCAAAAGTATTTAAAATTGAATATATTTAATATAAAATATATTAAATAACTAAAAATAAATATTGTTGATGCTAGATATCACACAGCCAGTTGGAGTCACGGAGTTTATAAAAAAAAAGGGGGGTCGCTTTCTTCTTCGACTTTATGCCTGGTTCTGGAATTAGGATGGCCGAGCAATCTGCACACAAAAGAGTCGTAAAGAGGGTGGGGATGACTTCCCCCGTGATACCTCCAACGATCAAGTCAGTTGATGAACTTGAGTGGGGTTAAAGAAGAACTGTGTGTTCTTATTTTTGTGCAGTGTGTGCTTTTAGGGGTGTTAGATTGCGAACCTCTGGCTATAACGAATAGCATCTGTATTTATAGGGGATGCCAAGGGCAGATTGGTCACTTCATGAGTATACAGTAAGATGGTGATGAGGGGTGAGCTGGAAGTTGAGTTATCTTTTACTCTACACGTGTTGGTTAGTGAGTGACGAGAGATCACTTCGGCAACATTGGTAACTAGTAGTCAGACGAGTCTTCAAGACTATTGAGGATGGAGACATAATGATGATCATTGAAGATTAAACAATATTGAGAAGTGACACCTATGCCAATAGTTTCGAGGCAAGGATAACCTCTTAGCTTCGTCGAGAAGCAAGGCCTATAATGTCATATCTTCGAGTCGCTGACTCTCGTGTCGACTGACACCACCTTTCGTATCGACACAAGAGTGTCGGCTTGTCCGACTGGTCGGAATGTCGTCTTGTCCCAGCTAACAACCATTTCTCGAGGCAATATAGAGATGTCGACTGGTCTGGGAGGTCAGGACCTCTCATGCCGATTAGCACCACTCCTTGAGTCGACACTGTGGTGTTGGCTTGTCTGGTTAGTCAAAATGTCGACTTATGAGATCATATATCCGTGGAACAAATATACCCCATAACAGTTAGCCCCTTTCGCTTGGAGTCGGCTTGAGCCGAGTCCGAGTGAAATAAAATAATCAAAGGACAAATAGGGGAAGAGATGGTATTCTTTAAAGAACTGTACTATCTGAAGTCTGCGGGTATCATCATAACTATAGCAGGGCTGTTCTCCTGACAGATTACGTGTTCTTTGAGGTAAAAGAAATGGGGCGCGCTTTGCCTTTCGGGAGAATTTCGAATTCCGAGGATAGATCCTAACCATAAGAGGTAATTGAATCCAACGGCTCGAACCTTGACAGTTGTAAAGTAGGAATTTTTTATATTTATATATAAAATCATCATGCACCGCCATCACCCTTTCAAATTCCCTTCTGATAGACTATTCTTTTTCCCCAATTTCTCTCGTCCTTTTGCTCATTATTCCTGCCTATTATCCTTCTGTTTCTCTATAACTTTAGAAGCAGTTCATCGTCGGGATCTTCTGCAAAGCATTCATTCCAAAGTAACCTTGTCTCATTTTGAGGATGATGTCTAAAAAATTTGACATCCCTGCAAGATACGAGCTACTCACTCCGACGAGTTCAGATGTTATTTTTGACCATGGGCCTGAACGACATCCTCTCTACTTGAGACACCTGGAGTGCGGTTTAAGATTACCCCTGCCTCCATTTCTGAAACAACTATTTGAGACGCTAGGAGTTTCACCTGCGCAAATGAAACCGAACGTTGCTGTGGCATTCGTGGTAATATACCATTGGTTGGCAATCAAACCTACTCTGAAGATCTTCGCTCATTTGGTGGCCGTAAAGGTAAATCAAAAGGAGCCCTATTATCCTTTTCAAATGATAGGAAAGTTTAAGTTGATAGATCTTCCAGATTCACATAAGGATTGGAAGAAAAAGTTTGTGAGGGTGGTTGGGGATAATTTAGAGATGTGCTGTTTCGATTGGCCTGAGATAAGGAGGGATGCTCTTGCTAGAATCATGTTGTCTTCGGAAGAGAAAAACCAACTCGACTTAATCAAGGGATTCGCAGGCTCTCGCCATTTTGAAGATCTGCTTGATAGATAGGGCTATGGTCCTCATCACTGGATCAAGGGAGGCGATTGTGATGTTCACGGCTAGGCCAATTGATCCCCAGGGGGCGCCATCTGTTAGGCCAGCTAAACGTATTCGTGAAGATTTTCATTTCTTAGGGACACAATCGGTCGGTGAAGGAAGTGCTACTTCACTCACTCTTAGGAGGAGAAAAAGAGAATTTGAAGGAAGGCTTCAAATGAGGGGAGAAGAGAGGCAGACTAATATCGTCCCTTTGGGTGATTCGAGAGAGAGATCGATTTTGAGAGAATCATCTGAGGCCTCTTTAGAAGAAATAGCCAAGGAGAAGATGCAGGTTGGAGAGCAATTGTCAGATCGTCATCAGGAGTCGACTTGATGGGGAAAGGAGCCGGCTTATGAAGAGACGTGACCCTCTGTCGGTCTGAAGTATCCTTTTCCCCATAAATTCTCTGACGTGGAAGAAGGAGAATAGGACAAGATAAGAACGTGTCTCATTAGAATTCCCTTGTCTGGTGTTAAGTATGGGATAGAACCTGCACTAGAGTTCCGCTTTGAAGCGGAACGTCGCATTGATGCTCGGGGGACCGTCCTTGGGTCTCGTTGAATCCAGTCTAGGGCAGTTGACCAATTCCTCTTGTCAGAAGATGAGAAGTACCTAGAGAAGGTGTCCGACCTTAGTCTTCATCATGCTCTCCGCAGCTACTTTACTCGAGGAGCCATATTAGAAAATGAGTTATATGATCGAGTAGAACATGTGTGGACTGAGTACCATAAGCTTCTTGGTGAGGTGGAATTATTAAGGGCCAACGAGGAAATTAGCAGACAACAAGTTGTCGAAGGATCCGTCTCCAACACTTCTGAAGTCACTAATCTTAGAGAGAAGTTACAAGAAGCGCTTCAAGAGAGGGATCGTGCTGAGGTGTTGGCTTGAGCCGAAAAGGAGGCAGTGGCACACGCAAAGTGTCAATTAGACGAAGAACATATAACAATCACCAAGCTCCAAGAAGAGGTTACATATCTCAAGTCTGAATTCCATCAGCATGAAATTCTCAAGAAGCATTGCCAGGATATCCTTGAAACTTATCGTCAATATATTATCAACACTTATCGTGAAAGTTTTCTTAGGAAAACAGAGGTGGCATTAGCTTGTAAGGCTGGATACGATCACTTATTGGCTCAGCTCCAAGTTGATTTGAAAAGTATCCCCAATCGTTTTTAATATCCCTCCATGGTCGCCAACTGTTTAGGAGAGCTGGAGAAATTGGAAGTGCTAGGGGGAGGATTCAACCTTGATGAGACTAAAGATGATTCAGATGAAGAGCAGGGTCGATTGTCTCCTCCATCGACTACTCCTAAAAGTTCCCCACCTCCGACTCCAGGAGCTAGAATGGATTTTCAATAAGTTTTATAGGAACTTTTTCATAGTTGTTTTGTAGATCTTATACTTTGTAATACTTGATCAATGAATGAAAAATCTTTTGTTCTTATGATTTTGCGGAGCCTCAAAATTTTTGTCGAATGAGTTGCCTTCTTTGTAAACTTGTAAAAATTTACTAACTACTCCGAGCCGACTAGTACCGCCTTTCGAGCCGTCATAGGGGGTGTTTACTAGTGTGGTTGATTGAGATGTCAGCTCACTAGATTATTCTTCTCTCTCTTTATTATATATTTTCGAGAGGATTTGATCACTGCTATCTGATATGACACAACACTTTATCGGTTGGTGGAGATTTAATGATGATGCTTTGATTCTTTAAAACAGGAAGTGGGACCCCAGGAGGGATGCGACATTTCAAATCACAAAATTTAAAATGTTTAGAGTTATGAATTGAATCTTCTCCGTTCATCTCAAAAAGTGATAACCGTCAGGATAAGCCCACCTGACGATTGAAAGTTATAAAATAGCTTTAGAAGAAAGGAAGAAGAACACTCTGTCATTATTCGCTCTAGTTTTCACAGCGTTTCTCCTCTTCTTCAAAGCTTTCTTCAACCAAAGATTTTGCCATGGCTTC